CAAACCAACAGCTTCGACCAGCATAAGATTGTAAAATCCATCCCCGAGGGCAGGAAACTATGCGAGTGTCATTCGTTCCCATCTAAGATCAAAAGTAACTAGGGAGAACGCTGGCATCTCTTGGGTCTGACCAGGAAGAAAATGTGAAAACGACGTCCCTGTAGTCTGCTTAAGCTACTTTTTGCTGTCACGGTAGACATGACTTTTTACATATCATCATTTAATTTGACCTCAATGCCTACACAGAATGCGTTCAGTTTGGCAGCCATTGTGAATGCTTAACTCCTTTACACTCCATTCAGTGTCCAAAACCACAAAGCGTGACTGCACGCGTGAATCAATCCTGTCTGTTGCAACTGATACTTCTCGCTACGTCTGTACTTCTTGAACCATCTGCTTCGTCTTTTGTGTTACTCTCACCGTTCATGGAAAGGTACCATTCGAAATAGCAGAGGCCTGAGGATCCACTGGCACGAAGTAGAAGTAACCAATTTACTTATCTGAACGTTGACGATGCACGCTTCAACTGATGATACTTTAACCTCAAAAGAAAACCGAACATTAAAAAATCCCCATCACCTCTGCGGATTTTGTAACCTCATATTCCCGACAGGTAATACTGACGCGGTTACGTGCCGATCCTACATTTGGTGTCCCACCACGGGTATCGTGAAATTCTAATAACCATCTATCGAAATAGCTGACGGCGAATGGAACAGTTAAATTACGTTCACCCGGCGGTTACTATTCACGCGCGTTCAGGGGGATTTTTTTCGTGCCACGAGGAAGTCAGATCGGTTCATTCAATTTCACATAAAGCGCTGGCTAAAGGCGGAACCTGGATGAAGGACAAATTCATAGATATACGGTGGTGTAAAGTACAGCAGAAAACAGTATCCCATCACCATAAATCAAGAAGTTTTACTTTGTAACTGACGAACAGGAATGTCCAGGGAAAAACTATGATATCGACTAAATTTACAATCCATTCCACAACCAAAAAGAAGTGAGAGAGAGAGAGAGTAGAAAAACAATCGACGGAACATAACCGTGACACGAATTCTATACAATCAAGGAGAGAAATCACTGTGCATAATTCCACCGCTAACAGTGCAAAACACTAAGTCAACGTCAAAACACAATCGCCGGTTTGGAAGCATTCCCATACATGTATCAGGTTGCAATAGGTTCCGGTGGGAAAAGCGTTCGACCGTGAGAGCGCTTTGACCCCTTGGGTGTTGGACTTGTCAAGTTGATTGCACAGAGAAGCTGAGTTTTGGTGTGACGAGTTGAAGGCGTAGGAGGAGTGGGCTCACAGTAATCGGCCGTCACCGTAGGCTGAGAAAGACGCGCGGCAGAGATAAGCGAATGATTAGGATTAAAATATCGACTAGGCTGCGGTGGAGAGAACAGAGCGCGAACACTCAAACTTATCAACTCGCGGGCCACCGCGGCGGCTGTACGAGGAACATGTACGCGATCCGGGGTTACACTCCCTGGTGCCAGTGGACGTTTACGAGGAACAAATTCGGAGGTTTTGGACTTGGCCTTAGGAGGTTTCTCTCGAGGGGTGGTATGCTTAGCAGATAGTTTGGGTCTTTTGACTACGGGCATTTGGCTCAGCGTGTTGCATTCGGAAACTGGAGATTGAAAGCCATTCCGGTTTCGCCTTCGTATCTGGCGATGACAAATATCTCCTTTGCAATGCCTTTTAGCTTTTTTGGGTCGATCCCGGGGTTTAGTATAATCTGATGTCTGGGGGCTTTCGAATGACACATTATCTGACTGGAATAACGATTTATTCGGATGAACACCGCCGTCCGAAAGAGGAGAGTGGCAAAAACTTGGGAACCCATTTGTGTCAACCAAACTATAACAGGGTAATACGTGGTGGTGGGATGAACACTTAGGTGTACAGATATTCTGGGGCGTGCTCTTGTCCGGAACAGGAGTAAGGAAACCGGGTTTGAATGTGGATGTCAAACAAAGAACGGGTGAAGAAAGTGTAGATTCGGTAACACAGCCCTTATCTTGAGGTTCAGGGGCATAAACAGGTGATGACGGCATACTGTCATTCATGAAGCAGGGTATCGTAGACTCAGAATGCTCTGGATTACTCAAGTCGAAAATCGGAGACCGCGGAGGAGTAATATACAGATCTTCGGACACGGGAACTTGATTAACTCCAGAACGCTGACGGCAATCTTCTTGTAAATGTTCCGAAAGAATTAAAGCCGCTGTAGCTGTAGCCGCCTCATCGTGCTCATCACAGGAACTGTTATCCATGGAACCGTGATCACTCAAAGCAAATGGCGAGGTGAACCCAGTACAACCCAATCCGTCTAAGGCATATTTGGGACCTAAGAGGCTATGCAATCTGAGCTGGAACGGTGGAGGAATTGTGGATGGAATGTGGGCACGGAAACAAGTTTGACAGACCCGATGAAACCGTTTAAGGACGGGAGATTCACTTGATGAGCAAGGGATTGACTCTGTTTGCCTGAATTCATCTTTCACTAACTCCTCGTTGACATAAACATCATCACACAGAGAATGCCACGTTTCTAGATTTCGAACCTGTTGTTCCGTTGAAGGAGAAATGGAAGGCGTTGGTTGCATTTTCAGACACTTAGGAGTAATGATCTCTGGTGCAGTGCATTTGGTAGTTGTCTGGGCACGTAAGTCAACTTCCACAGGACTATGTGTGACTTGGGGAGAATCTGTTAGGGTCTGTGTATCCTGAATCGCTTGTTCGGCATTGGGCACATCGAGAATAGCAGCAGCAGCAGCATCGGTGACGATGCGGATATGGTCTTCTCCGGTACGAACCAAGGTCAACGGATCACAAACGTGGTTTGAATCCTCATCGTCACTGAATAGTTGCGGTTTGGGGCCGACACCAGTTGAGTTATCACCAAGAATCTCACCTTCAGCGATATTAAGCGATGGGGGACATGGTATGATGCTTGTATTCCCCGGGGCCGCTAGAACGGGTGCCGGCGTTTCGCAAAAAAGGGGTGCGGTCCTACAATAAATAGGAATGGATAGAAGCAAGATTGATCATGTGGTGGAGTGCATTTCCATACTATCTGGGAGACAACTACTGGCCTTCACACGGCACACAGTAAAGTAACATAAAACATTAGCGAATGAACGAACCAAAGACAAATGCAAAAAACAATCAGTATACCACTTGGACCGGATGGGATTCCTTAGATTCCTCTGTCCTCAAACTGGTATCCGACCAATGTTACTCATTCTCCCTCGATTTCGGTGTATTCTCAACCAAACGCGGTGGCCACTTGGACATAAATAACGATCACTATTTTTCGCACAGCGGTTACTTTGAAGGATATGGAATCAGTCATCACTTATCAACTGCCGCAGCAAATCCAACCCAGATGGGATCATGTCTCGTTCCGTGCCTGAAAAAGCTGGTTTCTACCAAGGTTAATTCCCCTTTCACTTTTTCTGATGTTCACCGATGACCTTTCTTTAGCTTCAAATCTTATTCATGCCGTTGCCGATGATCACCCTACATTATTTTTGTTCTATTCATCTTCATGCATCACATTAGCGAGACCGTTCCTCACCCAGTTTCTCCCTGAATGCCGACGACTTTATTGCTACTTGCGGCCGTCGCAACCGTGGTCGCTCTCTTTACTGCCGGTAGGGCTGCTCTTATATTCATCTCTTTTAAACACGAATCATTCTCCTCCATGTAAATTTTTGACTCAAACGTTCTCTGTTCCACAGCTTCATGCTACTCATTAGGACCATACTTATCCTCTTCTTTTTTATGGTCACCTAGTGCTGCGCGTAAAATAGACTTCCTCTTCCGGGTCATATGTTTATTCAACGCCACTCACTTTCTCTTGCTTTGCAAAGCTCACATTCGCCGTTCACGTACTGTGGGGTTGAACTTCGTCCACCTCTGTCTCTTCTCGATCGGTCTCAACGTAGGGCCATTCTTCATCAACCACACGCCCCTAACAAGTAACTTGCAAACAGTCGCTTCTTCATCCTTATTATATCACCTTTTTTCTCCTGAACTTGCATCCTTGTCCCTCTCATGCTTTTTCTTTATCGTAAGTTTCGTACACAAGGGATTGGTCAACCATTTCAAGTGACTGCCCTCAGATATTGCATTTCTAACTTCTTCATTTTTCAAAGAACCGCACAACGACTGAACATTCCTTTTCGCCTCTAACTGAAAACATCCTTATCTTCAAAAGCAGAACCAAAAAGCCTGTTCTAACTTGAATATCTTCTTTGTCATCCCATGTGTATCCTTAGATTACGGGGTTGACCTTTTCTATTGTATTCATTTTTGTTTGATAAAAATGCAAAAATAAAAATCTAAATGTTCGCTAAATTCAATTACTTTTATCTTAATTGCATCGACACGATGAGCAGCGAAAGTAAACTAATAGTCTGAAGAATTCACTGCCAAATGATAAAAACCGGCAGTTTGAGCCCATAATCTAGAGACGAACTACAGTAGAGCTTCAATGATCTGTGTGTTGAGTCGGGAGCCAACCGCGCTATCTACACAATTCAAAAAAGCAAAACATAAAAACAGTAGAGACATTCACCACGCGTTCGCGTTCCACCGACCCCCAAAAATACTAAACGACGAGGAAGCAACAAATGATTATTATACTCACTTGTCAACTTGAGTATTGACCGTTAATTGGCTAGAGCCAGATGTTTTTATGATTTTAGACGAAGTCTTCGGACCACTAGACTGACGCGAACGGTGTCGCTTGCGTTCCGTGGCTTTCTCGGTGGAACCGCTAGTCGCAGCGTCGGCGTCTTGTGCAAGAAAGGATTGAACTGACGGTAGTTTCCTCAGAACGTCATCTAATAGCCGATAGTTCTCTTCGTTGGTGGCAAATTGCTGGTGATCCTCACAACGTAAATGCTAAATCAATGCGAAAGACCGTGATAAACTGTAAAAATGTAAAGCTATGCAAAAGTCAGATACAAAGCTAATTTAAAATGACGTATCGAAAAGGAATAGCGCGTACCAACTCATACAGTGTGTCGTACTGCTGCAAATATCTGGTCGTCAATACTTGAAGCACGACACAAATAGTCGTATGTTGCATTAAATATTGTAGCAATGTTTCTGCTTAGCATCAGTCATAAAACATTGATCGTCAGCTCCTTGTCTGCGCTTTTACTGTCCGCTGCTCTTTGGTGAAGTACAATGGTACCTAGAAATTTAATTTGCCAACATATATATATATATATATCACACTTGTCTGAGGACAGACTGTGCGCCAAACAAACACCGTGGTACAATAATCTTTATAAAAAGAAAAATGTTCCATGATTGGCTTGTGGGCTGAGTACTGCCAGGTTGCCCAGGCCAAGGCAGATTTGCCAACATATATTGACTACA